ACACACACACACACACACACACACACTTGTATAATTATTTATATCGCATCGTCATGCTTTTGGGTTAATTTAAAATGCATGTTGCGTATTACAGTTATTAAATACAATATGTTGTGGCACAAAAAAGGCAAAAATAATTAAAAGAAATGTCGTGCAGTTGTCTTTGCGCTTATTTGGTAATTCATTTTTGTTTCAACTTTAGTGCCTGTGAGAATTTGTAGCAGAAGTGAAGTCTTTAAATCAAATAGGAAAAAAAAATAATAATAATTATGTAAACAGCTGATGTTAATATTTCAACGCGCGGATTTGAGTGATGTGAAAAGTATTTAAAAATTAAATGTGGGAATAATTTGCTGAGAAAAATAATGCAGAAGGCTTTTGGACAGAAATGAATAAAAAAATAATATACATATGTATATATGCAACTGCAATAGCAAACGTTGTGAATAAAGATAAAACACTCAGAAAAAAGTCAGCATAAAAACATTTCTCTCAACACATGATTTGGTAGCTTTAACTAAATAATGTAACTATAACCCAATTATGAGTTAAGAGAAATATATATAAGCTGACTTTTTCAGGGTGTCGACACAATAAGTAGATACCAGTGAGAAAATTTTATTATTTATTCGATGCTTTTTGTTGTACCACTATGCCGCACAATGTTTTGACTGCATATAAAGCGGTAGGTAGGTAGAAACAAATCACGGTGTCAGTGGATAGAAAAATTTCCCTATCTTAGAGAGGAAAGTAAAAGTCGTAAATGAAAATTTTCACAAAATTCAACACCATTCATGCTCCCCTTTGCCCAACGAATAGTAAATTTCAAAAACGTAATAAGCAAGCGTTTTTTTTTAAGTCTAATTGATGACTTAAATGTCATGAATTCTTTATGTGAAGGTAGATATTTATAATTTATTTGGTATTTTTTCCCCCTGTTTTTTGTCATAATATAGACTTTGATTAAGATTATTAGTGAAAACAATTTGAGTACCAGTTCGTCAGTGTTTGGAATTAGACGCGTGTTTTAGAGAATTTCATGTAGCTTGCGAATATATATGTAATTCAGCCTTTTCGGAATTTCTTATTTTTTCGATCTTTCTTTTGCGTAATTTCGTGAAAAGAACTTTTCGATCATCCGAAATCATCCGAAAATCTGGAGAAATAAAAATATTTACACCTACGGAATTTTCAAATACAGCCTTTGTTTTTCCGCGTGTGGTAAGCAGAAAACCAAAACTAACCAAAATTCCATGACATTTAATGACTGGGTCTCTACTTCTTGCGAGCTGTAGACGCTATAGTCTGCCAATCTTCCCCATATGCTGTGTTCAGGTTTTTCAAACAAAAGACGCAGTACAAACTAATACATTGACATCGGATGAAATTTAACATTTCCGCCCACAGCGGTTGTGGGCGTGGAATGAGCCCATTTTCGCCATATTTCATAATTCTCTTTTCTTAAGATAAGCTAGTGGGCATGCCAAATTTCAGCGAAATCGGTTCACGTTTACTATATTTTTTACCTACCTCCCTATAGTCGAAACATTGTGCGCTGTAAGCATGTAGGCTAGAGAGCCAGCATTGCCCCATATACTGTTCCGAGTACTTAAGATCCGACTGCCATAGGAATAAATATCTCAGAAACAAATAAGAGCAAAATCTCGATTTAGATTTTCTCTTAATTTCATTAAGCTTTATGCCGTAAGTCGTGTATTATACGGGTAACGGGATCGCTTATTTGCATAAACAGCCTTTATATGCATTAACTCGTGCATTCTGCTCTTTAAAATGTGCATAGGCAGCCGAAAAAATAGAGTTAATTTAGTTCATAAATATTCTGTCATGATGAAATAAGTAGACGGCGAAATCCGTCGAAAACTATCCAGTGCTGCCAAGTTTGCCCGGCAGCTTGAGGGAGGAGCTGAAATTATTTCGCCTTATCGTCGTATAAGTCCAGCTACGGAGCGGTCCCTGTTTTCAGGAACAAGGTAAAAATTTCCAAAATAACTAGAATGTCCAAGATGAATTTTCTTTAGAAAGAAATATATCTGTACATTAACGTTATAATGGCGGTGGGCGTGGTTATTGACCGATTAGTATTATTGCTGAGATCCAAGGCAAAATTCGAACCGAGTTTGGTAAGAGTTGGCAAAGCGGCTACTATTTCATCATAAATGGGTGGTGCCACGCACACTTTCCAAAAATTTCATAACGGGTATAAAATTCTGATAATTTATTCAATAAGTTGCGGACGTAAGAGCGCACACTCGTAGCTTGGCAAATACAGCATCGATGAATATGCACTTACAGGGCAATTCTGGCAACTGTCTTTCCACAGTCTTTCGAAAGAAAAAAACAACCACATATCTTCAAATGTCTTTAAAATCTTTCGAACGCCTAATTGAAATATGTGCTAACGAGGTCTTACCGTTATTCTGCCTGTCTTTTAGAGTAAGCTTTCCAAAAATAAAATGAAGATAAAAAAATATATTCTTCTTTTTAAAATAACAAACTAAATGTTAAAAGAAAATTTAATTAAAAATAAAAATTGTTTTATTTAAAAACAAAATATTTAAATAAGTGCCCAAAAGTTAAATAGTATTACAAAGAGCTTTTTATAACAATAAAATCTGAAAATTAAAAGAAATATAAATAAATAAAAAATTAAATAAGTTTCTAAAAATTACGTTAAATAAAAAAAAAAAAATGTTTCTTTATAAAACCGTAAATTTTTAAAAACCAAAAAAAAATTTAACAAAAAATTAAATTAAATTAAAACAAAAAATTTAAATTGATAGAATATATAACAATAATTAAATAATAATTGACATTTAACAAATTATTTCTCTTTTTAATAAAACAAAATCTAAACTGAATAAAAAAAAAATAAAAAATTAAAATAAAATAAACAAAAATCTAAAAATTAAATTTAATTGAAAAAGTATTTATATTTTTCTTTTTAAAACGAAAAAATCCATAAATTAAAGGAAAATTAATTTAGCAAAAAAATAATAAATTAAAGCAAAGCAAAAGTCCCTTACCGTAGGACTCGAACCTCGGGTCTCTCGGAGTGCTTTGATCACACGGCCAATCCGAGTGTTGGAGCATCGCGAACAAAATGATGTAGAAGTGGTTTCTGTCAAAAGCGTTTTCCATCATGAAAGTTGGCAAGGAAGTTTTATTTTTGTGAAGATTTTCGTGCCAAAATAAAAAAAAAATCTTAGCCAGAATTGCTCTGCCAATATCATCAATATATGTACATATGTATGTACATATAAACAGTTGCGGCGCAGTGTGTCTAACAATCGCCTAATCATATGCCACTTTCCGCACGCCATGCGGTGTTCTCATAAAACTCCACTTGCACTCGAGCATAAAATTAGAATGCTCACATTTGTTGAAGTCACATAAAATTACACAATACACAAATGGTCTGATTATGGCAACTTAACGTAACTTACGGTTCTCTCTTAAAAATTCTGTTAAATGGGTATTGCTTATAAATGAACAGCCGAAACTTAACGTAACTTAATGCCATGTCGAAATATTTTTCATTATGATTCTCTAACTTCTACGTTCCGTTAAGTTGCCAAATCAGGCTTTAACACACACCCGCTTTCAGGCCCTTAAAATTAATAGAAAAAAAAAACACAAACACACACACACAAATACTGATGGCACTGCACTTAGAGAGTACGTTGGCACTTTTATTTTAACGACTTTCCAGGCACAATTCCATGAAATGATTCCAACAAACTATTTCGTTACAAATGAAAGCGCAATACTTGATTGCCTTGTCTTGTACGTTCTTTGTTGTTTTTAGATGTTAGTGTTCGCGTTGTTTGTTCGGTTGATACCAGCTGTAGTGATGTAATGCACGAATATTTTTTTTTCACTTTTTCCACAGACCCGCCGTACAAAGACGATCCATTCATACCGCCGCGCGGTCGCAAACACAATTTGCCCGATCTGGATGCATTGCTCAATCGTTACGAGACATTTGTGCCGAATCGCGGCAAACGCGACAAAATCAAAGACCTTTTCAAGTATGACGATTTGTTCTTTCCGAATCGCGGTAAAAAGTTGAAGCCGCCAAAGGCTGCAACGTTGGCGCTTGGCGGCCAATGGCAGCGTAGCCCTGGTGACGATGAGGCGAACGAGGTGACGGGAAGCTATAGTGAGAATGAAGGCAATGCCAGCGATAGTGAGGAGAGCGTGCGGTTGTTAGACAATCAAGTTGATGGCAACGATGACAGCAACCTGACAGCGCCGCCTGTCAGAGACGCCATACGCCGCATGCAGGGCGGTCGGAAGAGACATTTGCAACCGCATGAACTTGGCTTGGCAGGGTCAGGGCGGGACGCAGGCGCTGATGATGGTGAAACGATACGAATTTTGTTTGACAAGAGCAGCGATGACAACGGCAACAATTACAGTGACACAATTGACAACAATCTAGCGGCTGTTGTTGATGGCAATGGTGATGGTGGAAAGGACGCCGCCGCCGTCGCAGCCATTGTTAACTGGCTGCAGAGCAACACAGCTATAAAAAAAGATCTATTTAATGAGAACGATCAATCAGTCACATCATTGGTGCCACAAATAGACGCGCGTGACACTTTGGCTGCCGCAATGGACGAAAGGCCTGCAACATTTTCCGCACAACAGCCGCGTGTGCGCGGCGCATTTACAGATCCACGCATGCGTCGCGTGGCGCGCACATTCGCCGCTGCGACAAGGCCCGCAGCTAATCATTGGCGTTCAATGTTGTCGATGACAAGGCAGCCTCTACAAACAATTCGACAGCAATTGCATTACGATCAACGGCGACGAGCAACAGTACAACAGCAACAACCAACGAAATCAGCGCTGCGCCTCTACGGCCGTCATTTGCGCCATGAACAACTACAAAATGAACCACGGCAGAAAAAGCAGGCGCAACGGCGCGCTGCCTGGCAGTTATCACAGCTGCCAACACCAGCGCGCGCCAGCAACAACGATTTCGATCTTTTGTTCGCGCAGCATTTACAACAATCTAACAGACCATCGATGATAGTGCAACATCCGTCATTGACATGGTGGCAACCAAAGCAATTGCAATTGCAGCAACATTTACTAGTTGGTCCAGTTGATGATGGTGTCGCAGCTAGGCGCAGCAGCTCCCCAGAGAACACAGAAACCGATTGCAGTGATTTTAGCATTTAAAGTTTAATTTTTCCGCTGTTGGCTCCCCTATTCTTGCTCATCATTTTTGGCATTTTTGTGGCGATCAAAGGTTATTGCAGAAACGATTTTACGTTAACTTAAAGTAGTGGCATGAAGTGGTAATGTATTGAAACGGATTGAAAATAAAATACAAAAACAAGTAACGAAAATGCACTCACATACCTACATCTACATACAAATGTGTGCGCCGATAGCAGCAAGTTTTGTCATTCTCCCTGACTTGTGATTTGAAGCATTTGAATAGGAACTAATTATGATATACTTTTTCAATTAGAAATTCTTAATGTATAAAATATATACGGTATGTATGTATATATAAACGATTGTGGGTCTTACTATCTATGTATTAAATATGTGTGTAAATTTTCAAATAAAATTCTTAGTGTAAGCAAATGATTGCAAAAATCAAAACAATTTCTGTTAAATAATTAATTAAATGTTAGTTAATGCGAGTCATTTTATATATTTTATATTAGTTGAATGCTATGTAAGTTCAAACGAACCTGTTTTTGATAACAATTTGGGACCGCAAATCATCATTCATCAAAGCTATTTGTTCAGCTATAAAACCTAGTAGGGTTAGTTATGCTATTTACAACTCTAGAACGGCTGCAGCGATCTTTATGATTTTTGATTTGTTCAATTTGATAATATCACGAAAAAAATGCATGAAGAAAATTCATTTTCATTACATTTTGTATGACATGGCTTTTTTGACGATTCGATGACGAGCTTTTACGATTTTAGAATTGTGTGGAAATTCGGTACGAAGTTTGAAAATCTGATGTACAATAATACATACATATGTGGTTTCAGTTATATGTGGAATGAACTATGTATGTTTTTGTTTTTAGAAAATAGCGAAAAAAATTTACTGTGAGTCACCTATGACCATACATATGAATATATTTCCAAAGTACCCATAAATTTCTTTAAAAGATATTATAATTAGATAAATAGTCTATGCATTCAATAATGTCTCGAAGTAATTTTAATCAGCTATCCATCGGAGAGTTAGCTGAAGAAGAACTAAGACAAATTTTAAGACTCGCCCCCGGGGCGCTTAGATTTTTAGTCCGGCCCTGGTAACGAAAACCACAGATTCCACAAATCAAAGACTAATTTACAAATATCTAAAAAGCATCTACATTGTAATGCATCTTACAGTTGATTTGAGGAATATGTAGATATGTGGCTCTCTTTAACATTCAACTCATTTGAGTTACCTAGAAGCTTATAACCCTTCTTTATAACTACCTTAAAGCTTCAGGCAAAAATTAAAAAAAAAATACGCCAACAAAAATCAATTTATTTTCAAGTTCTTTTCGCGCTTATTAACGCTCCGCTTCATCTAAAATTTGAGTTTGCGAGTAATGAAATTAAAAGATTAGTTGTAATTATGGTTTTATTGCCTTCCTATGCGGTCTTATGCGGTCATCGTCAATACTAATGATAAAATCATTCAACAACAACTGGCAGGCAATGAAGCATACAAAATCCAATAATAACTGCCAAATAAAATCAAATAAAACTTCAACCTGACATTGACATTGACCAACTGGCTGTGGTCATCATCGTTTGCGCGGAGCTAACAACACTTTAGTTGAATGCTACAAAATATATTAACGATAATCGCACGGCAATGGAATACTTAAAAAACGCGCAAACAAAAACCAACTACATACAGTTGTAACAGCATCTTGAGAGTTAAAAAAAAAAAACAACAATAACTGTTACTACCACTTTTGAATTGTTTGGTTTGCATTACACGAAGTAAATATGTATGAATGTATGAAAAGTGAAGTCAAGTTGTCCGTTGGCTATCGATCATCAGCAGCAAGAAGAGTTTTCAAAGAGCCAAAACAAAAGTATGTAAGTGAAGAGCTTCAACAGAAAACAAAAAAAAAAATATTAAAAAAAAAAAAATAAGAAAATTACCATCGAAGGTCATTTTACTTGAAGCGTTTCACTATTTATAGGAAAAAATGTGAAAAAGGTAAGCAGAAGATGTCGAATTGTTGCCGTTATTGGTGTACGCACAACGCGTAATGATCGCTAATGACGGACGCGCATAGCAGCAGCACACAACGTGCGCGTCTTGTGTGTCGTTGCAACAAAAGGTAGTTAATAAAAGTATGTAGCAATAATCACATGAATAACGACAACATTAGCAACAGCAACAAAAGTAGCCAAGTCAAGATAATGCACATTTGGTTATTTTCTTGCTCGTATGATGCTTACATACATACATACATATGTGGGGCTATTTTTGTTTTTGTTTTTTTTTTGTTTTTTGTTTTTCAGTGAAGACGCTTCAGTTGCTGTTGTACTGTCTGAGGTCATTGTAGTTTAAATGATGCTTGAAGTTGTTAAACCTGAAACTTATCATAATTTGTTGTAAACGAGAGCAAAAGCAGTACGATGCATAGGAAGGAAGAGGGTTGGAAGTTTTAAAAAGAGGTAGTAGCATCCGCAGTGCCACTTGAGAAGGTATTGACTTCTCGGCTACTTCATCGAATAAACGCTCTAGCTTGTGACGAACTTAATGGTTTTTTTCTTCGCTTTTATTTTTAATTTCGTATGAAGTAAGCAAAACAATGATTTATTGAATGAACATTTTTTTGACCTTCAAATTGCAATCAGTGTGGTGTGTAAATTTGACGCAAATTAAGCAGAAGTGCAAGACAATGATATGGTAAGCACATACATACAAATGTATGGATGTTCAAAGCTTATTATGCAGGTAAATGTGCACTAATCCTTACTACCTTAGGTGCGAATAAAAAAAATTCGTCGTACATCCTTGAGCCACAAGGTTTCTTTTTTGCAAAGCAATTTCGAAAATATATTTCATTTGGTGGAAAGGCATAGGCCCTTTTACATTTTTCGGCGAAACATACTGTAGGCAACCGGTTTTTAACCGACTTCAAAAAACGGAGAAGGTTATCAATTCGTCGGATTATCCTACTGAGATCCCAAAAGTCTAAATCAGAATAGTTTTGGCCCAGTTATTCAAGTTTTTCGTAATTTTTGAATAAAGTAAAAAAAGGGCATCAAAAATCCTATTATTACGATTTTTAAATATTATTATGCAGATTTTTTAAGCTTAATCTGTTTTGTCATCTGATGGTTTTTTTTGTTCAAAAAGTTCTTTAAGAAACTCTCTTTATACTTTGGCAGACATCTTATAATATAATAAGTTTTATAAATAAACCGATTTTCCATACAAATACGAGGTTTACGTGTCTACGAGGCATTTACGCGTTTATATGAATGCCCTATAGTTTATAACGGATGATGTTAGAATTATAAAATCAAAACTTTTCAAGATTAATTCTATGGGTCCAGGAAAATTTATTTTATAATTTTAAGTACATACTTTTGTATATCATTTTAAATGTGGTATATTTAAAAGTATTTTTCCTGCTTTTTAGTCTTGTCTCTAAAGGGTGGCCCATATAGCGTTTTTTCAACCACATGTTTTTTTGACAGTGACAACTCTTTCCCGCTGGAAATCTTGATAGGTAGTCAGGAGCATATCTTTTCGAAATGAATCGCTTTTCGCTTGAATAACGTTGGGAATGATGCAAATTTAATTCCTACACTGAGAAAAATTCAACCAAAAATTGGTTAATACTTTCAAATTCATACTTGAAAAGGAATAAAAGTGGGTTTTTGTTAATGTTAATAATGCCTTGGTTGATATTTTCAAAACAATGACTTGGTAATATTAACCACACGAATGTTTACATTAACCAAGCATTTGGTTGTCGATTTTTTCGTTTGAATACGCTTATGTTGTGCACTTCACACTGTGCTTCCCGGATGGTTTTTCATAATTCGGAGATACAAAACAAACATTTTTATTATTTTAACATGTTGCCTCTGACGGAATTTGGACCCGCCTCTTCTGAAAGTTAGCAAAACAACAGCAAGCATCTTTGCACCGTCTGCCACAGTCGGACATACCATGAATAAACCAAATAATAACTTGGTTGTAAAAGCCATTGTCCTTTTGGCTCAGTGTAAGCCAAAATTGTGTAGGCCAAACAGCGCGTTTATAAAAAAAAAGTTTTGACCGAAATTGGGCACCGACCACGCCTGCTGTACGGAAATTTGTGCAGTAAGTTCTTGAGACTGGCATGCTAGGGGGCAACATTGACGGTTCTCGTCGTCGTACAGTGTGGTGCGGATTTTGTAGCGGTGGCATCATTGACCCCTTTTTTAATGTAAATCTAGCTGGAGACGCGATTTTGGTCAACGTTGAGCGCTACAGAGGCATGATAAAGGATTTTATGTGACCGCAAACAGAAGACATGGACATGGACAAACGCATTTTTGCACGTCAAGGTCGGTTGTCGCGCTACGTCTTTGCGATGTCAATTGGCCATCTCAGTGTTTGCGATTCGACGCCGTTCGACTCTTTTTTGTAGGGTGGTGGTAAGGATAGATGTTATGCGAACAATCTATTAAAGATTCAGGCCCTTAAGGCCAATATCGAGCAAGCCATTTGTTAAAAGGAGCCAGAAACCGTCAGCAAGATCTTCGAAAGCTGGGTTAGCAGGTTATGCTAATGCGAAGCCAGCCAAGGCAGCCTCATGAATGAAATCGACTTCCATATAATATAATGGGATTGGCTGCAGTAAACATAAAAAAAATCTCTGAACCGGGTGAAAAAGCTCAGAAAAATTCAATAAACTCGCATACTAATTTGCAACTATAAAAAAAAGTTTAGTTTGGCAAGGATTCTCCTCCAATTTGTGGTGTGCGTCTTGATGGTCTTACACAAATTCCAGGGACTAAGTCGCCTCTGAACGGAAAATGGATTTTATGAGAAGTCTTATGCTGGCTTAAATACATTCGGAGGTTTGCCATGGTCTGCCCTCTGCAACAACTTTTAGAAAAAAAATTTCTAATTTAGATGTTGCTCCGACCAGGGTTCGAACTCAGGTCCTGCGCAGTGCTAGTACGCACCTCTAACCTCTCAGCCACAGCATACATAGTTACAGGAATTTGAAATCTTCGCTCCGGTCGGAACGGCTTTGGTCGGCTCGGCGCTGCTTCCTGTGTGTACGTAGACTAATTAGAGTTTCACATTGAACTTAAATTATAATTCACCCCGATTTAGGAAATACCGTGCACTTAAAACTGCAGAAAAGCCCATAAGTTTTCAGTATCTATGTATAAATATAACAGCAAGAAATACAAAAACAAAGAACTAAAGAAAACTGCAATTGCAAATGAAAGTGGACTGAATTTCACT